TGCTGCTGCTGCTGGTTGAGGATCTGCAGCTGGAGGAAGAGCTGCTGCTGCTGCAGGATCCGGGCGTAGGCGGAGTCCATGGGGGGCGGGCCCTTGTCCTGCTTTTGGTCCGGGGGGATGTACTGATGGTACTTGAGTTTCTTCACCTTGGGCTTCAGCTCCTTGGCCTTCTTGCTGCGCTGTGACTTGTCACTGGCAGACTTGGGTTGGCTTTGCTGAGGGAGACAGGGGCGCATCAGGGAAGACACAGGCTTCCTGGCGGAGAGGCCCAGGCACGGGGCGCGGGCAGCCCTCCTTCCTGCACAGGGTGGCGTCTGCGAAGGCCATCCTCCACCTTGCCCACTTCTGCTCTCCCTCACAGCAGAGGCCTTCTCAGCACCCACTGTGCTGGGGGGCAGGGTGCGGCAGAAAGAAGTACAAGTACACGGCGTCCGCCCAGTCTCACAAAGGCCCCTGCTCAGAGGGAACATCACCCCCGCAGGCTCAGGGATCCCCTCGAGCCCTGCAAGTGAGCATGGCCAGGAGGCAGACAGGCACTGCGGGAGCAGGTGCTGTGCCCGGCTGGGTGCCACACAGACCACGCCGTGTGACCCTCGGAGGGTCCTGCCAGAGCAGGAGGGAGCATGGCCACCTGGGAGGAGGAAGCACCATGAGGCAGCTGAGAAGTCACCTGACCCAGGTCACCAGGGACCCTGATCGGAGCCTGGGAAGAAGCTGGGGTTCAGCCCAGGACTCCCCAAGCCCATGTTCACACTGAGCGTGCCTGCACAGATGCCCCTGGGACAGCAGGAAGCTTCATACTGGGCCATGAAGCCACAAAGAAGACAAGCAGACCAAGAAGGGACCAAAGGATCACGTCCTTGGGGCAAGGCAGAGTGGGCCAGGAGGGCAAGTGCTAACAAGGAAGGGCTGTGGAGAGCCTACAAGCTTCTGAACAGAGTCTGCTGCGTAGGTAACATCAAGGGTGGAGACTTGATGCCGCGGACAGGCAGGGTCTGGAGCAGGTAGAATGGGTCTGCAGTGAAAGTCTACAAGAGGAGCCATTGGAGGAAGAAGTGACGACATGAGCGGGTGAGAAGTTAAGGGCTAACAGTCTGATTTTGGCCGGGAGCTTGGCAAACCAGAGGAAGTCGATCTGCGAGCACGGAGCCAGAACAGCCAGGTGTCAAACGTGGGGGCAGGCAAGCGCAGCAGAGCTGAGGGGAAGGAGGGAGGACACAGCGGAGCACTCCCGTCCCCAAGAGGAGGAGGAAGAGCAGCTGCCAAGTAGGGGTGGCCTGAGGCAGAGAAGAGCCTCTGCGGGAGCCCAACCTCAGAGCTAAGGCCAGGCCAGGCGACAGGAAGTCCAGACGAAGCCCAGGGAAGGCGCTCCCTCAAACACAGGGTCAAGGGGAGAAACAGAGTGAGGAGAAGCAGGTTTGAGGAGGCATCTTGGGCAGTAAGGAAGAGGGTGCAGATGCGAGAGAGGCACAGCCATGTCCAGAGAGAGCGGTGGGGCCACAGGACCTGAGCCTGGGAGGCCCCTCACTGTTCTTGGAGGAAAGGGGTGATGAAGGGCGGGTCATGTGCAGACAGACTGACCAAGGGGTGAGGTAAGGTGAGGGAAGGGAAGGGAAGGGAGGGTGAGCCCAGCACCACAGGGAGGAAAAGGGAGCCACAGGAGAGGTCCAGGTCAGCCCCCGCTCCTGAAAGTCCTGGTGAGTGAGGAGAAGGCGTGATGGCCAGAGACCACCAAACCCGGCTCTGGGTCTGCGTGAGGAGGGAGCTCGGAGAACAAGCAAGCCACCACTGAGAGGGTGACGAGAGCCGCATGGGAGAGGGGAGCCCATGACCTGCCCCACAGAAGCACAGACTGGGGGCTCAGGTTATGGACGCCCTGGGCCGAGGTGGCTCTGAAGGGAGAGGGGGCCGCAGGTAGGCTCACAGGGCTGCTGAGATGGTTGCCTGAACCCTGGCTGCCCGCTGAGTCCCCAGGGAGAGCTTCGTGGGGCCTGAGGTAAAAGCTGGGCCCTTCAGTCTCTCCAGGTCAGGCCTCTGAAGAGAAGAAAACCCAACAGCCGACACTGTGTCTCTGACCGTGAGCACGTCCCCCTGCTCTTCTCGAGAGTGCCAATGCCCTGAACAAGGGGTATGTGGGTGTCTGCTCATAGCTGAGAGGCACGGGCACATGGGAAGGCCGGCCTGGCATGGTGAGGGTGTCAGGGCGTGTTCCCAGACTGTCTCAGAGGCCCAGGAGGGTCTCTGACAGAGGGAAACCTGTGCCCTCCCCTCTGAATGGGGGCAGGCACACCCCACCCCCTGCAGTGGGAGCGTGGTCACAGAGGGCTGAGTGGGTAATGGAAAGGGGCCCACAACCCTGGGAGGACTGTACCTTGATGAGTGCTGGGGTGGGCTTGGCGGTGGGGACGGCAGCGCCGTTGGTGAGGGTGGGAGGCAGCAGAGGCGGGGCCGGCGGAGGTGGCTGCTCAGCCAGGAAAAGGGTTTCTCCAGAATCGGGGCCCATCGGCAGCTGAGACACAACCTGGGTGCGAGAGGGGAAGTGAGGGGCAGAGCCACACACGGCACAGGCCCCCCTCAAGGTGGTGAGGCAGGGATCCGACAGCAGGCAGTGGTGGCAGTCCCCTCCTGGATGGCATCGCTGTCAGAAGGCCGATGACAGGCAAAGACCAGGGTGAGAAGCACCCCTGTGACAGCAGCATGGGGAGGGGGATGGGAAGGAGGACGGGGGCAGAAAGTTCCCCCCAGCTGAATAAAGCCAAGAAACTGCTGTGTCAGAGAGTGGAAATGGGGTGGGCAAGCAAGGTGCTGAGTCCAGTGTCAAGGCAGCCTGAACCAGTGCCCTCAAGCTCGGCCCTCGGCTGGCTCAGGCAGGCCCAAACTGCCTGCAATGATATGGGGCCGTTACTGCCATCTCCCTCCCGCTACTGGGGCTCCAGCACCCAGTGCCCAAGCTATCGAAGCACCTTGCCTTCCTGCATCATAGCTGGGGCCCCTGGCCGGGCCCAGGCTACAGACTTACTTCTGGGACCTTAGGGAGCAGGGAAAAACCTGGAAGTGGGTGAGCTCACCTGAGTGGAGGACACAGCGGCGGCACTGGGCAGTGGCTCGCTGACTCGAGCCTCCAGGGGTGACGGCACGGAGCCCTGGGACTCATGGCTGGCAGGCTGCTCAGGGGATAAGGCATCACTGCTGTCTTCATCAAAGGAAGAGCTGTCCGCTACCTTGGGGTAGTTCACCTGGCCCACTGAAACCCAAAGCCAGCATGAGAACCCACTCTGGCCCCATGGAAGGAGAGCAGTGAGCTACCCTCGCCCCCACCCCCGGTGAGGAGACAGCGGCCACATGCTCTATCCCCCAGGACAAACTGTCCTCAGGACCAGGAGCAAAGACCTCTGGAGGTCTGTGGCCACCTGTGTTCTGACCCTTCGCTTTTGTTTTGGAAGAGCTTGTTTTACATTCAACGTTACATGTGCATTTAGTTTCACTCCCCATTTACCATGTCCAAACCCAACTAACCCAATCTCCTCCCCTCCCTACCCAGTAACCCCCTGTGCCCCTCATATTTATGCAATCCCGTTTGTCCTGCATTTCGTCAATTTGAATGTTGGTCCTCTGGTGCCCCGTGGTCTATTGTTCTAAGGGATGTATTACCATAGAGTATATGGGTGCGTCATCCTGGGTTGAGTGGTCTGTGTGTACATCTTGTTAACTGCTGGGCTGAGAGCCAGGCCCTGGGAGTGAGTTTTATTCCAGGCACAGAATGACCCTTTGCTTTCAACTCTCCACCTTTCATTCTTCAGTCAGGCTCTGCCTCCCTGAGGATCCCGCTGCCCCTCCCCTTCATCTGTTTCCTGCTGTTAAAGGTCTCTTCACTGCCACTCGTGCCTGCAGAGAACTGCCTGCTCCCCAGATGCTGACGGACACTGCGGTGCAGGCTCTGCCACTGGCTCGAGCCGCCACGGGGCTTAGGGCCCAGCCAATGCGCAAGGCTCCTCTTGCTGACTGCCCAACCCCACTGGTGCCCAGAGGAGGGACACCTGCCTCCCCAGAGGCCCTGGCTGTGGCTGCCTTCACCCCTGCCCATCAAGCCCAGGTGTGCCTGAGCGTCTTCTGGGGCCGCAGGCCAGGTGGGCTGTGGGGAACGGGGGTGGAGATGGGGAGGGGAAATCCCAGAACTAAGAGGAAGAAAAGGGGCAACAGGGATCCCGAGGGAGCGCCGAAGCCAATGGGACACTTAAAGTTCACATCACAACCAGCGCCTCCATGGTGTTAGGGGAAGGCGGGGACCGAGGAATGGACAAGGATGCACTACCAGGAGAAGGAGGAATTTGCTCTGGGGAGACCACAGATAGGAAGCAGACACACAACAGGAATGAGCAATGGCTCGGTGCGGTGTCCCACGAGACTCCCAGCAGCGCCGTCCTGGCCAGTGCCACAACCTGAAGCTCCTCCCTCCTGTCCTGGAGGCCTTGGAGTTCACTGATGCCTTCCTGTCACTCAAACATCCTGGTGGTTTCCCACAATCTCCACACCCAGTGCAGAGGCCTGCTGGGTGGGGGGACCTCCCCCAGTGCACTAGGGCAGCGATCCAGAGAGGAGGTGTGATGGCCCTATCCCAGCCCATCTGACCCAAGGGAGCTGTGGGCAGGACTGGGGACCAAGGACTGGTAGCTGCACCTCTCTGCAGACCGGGTCCACTGTGGTGGCCAGCTGTGGAGAGGTGGGGGGTGTGAGTGGGCGTGGGCTGGGTGCACACATGCGTGTACATGGGAGGAATGTACAGGCAGGTGGGAGATGAGGCTTCGGTGCTGTGTCCCTCCTCCTCCGCCCGGCTGCCTCTGTCCCACTCGCCTGTGCCTCCTCCATCTCATCGAAACCTCCGCCTCAGACCTGCATCCCCCTCCTCCTCCTGCGGACGTGCCAGCCACAAGCCCTTGCCTCCTCTCTCCTGCCATCACCCCGGCCTCTCCCTCTCAGCCGGCACAAGTCCTTCCCACCTCAGCATCTGCCTCTCCTCCACAGGCCTCCTGAACCACAGAGCCGCTGCTGCCTCACCTCGCCCCTCCTCCTCCTCCTCACTCCCCAGCTGTGGCATCTGGCTGCGCTGCTAAGCACGCCCTTCTCGACAGCTTCACTGTCAAATCCAAGGGCTTCCCATTCCTCAAACGTGCCACGCTCTGCCCAGCCGCCGGCCACTGTCCGTGCTGTTCTCTTTGCGTAGAAGGTTCTTCCCAACCTTCTCCAAATATGCTTTGTCATCTGTGGGGCTTCCTCTAACCACCACCAGCCATTGCTCCCGGCAAGACCCCTGGGCACTGACACTATGGCAGTCAGAGCCATTATCAGCTGCCCTGTAATTAACCTTGTAATCTTAAAACAGTCTCCCCAGGTGCCAAGGACTGTGTGGGCCCCTCTGTCCATAGGACCCTGAACACTGTCTCAGGCCCTGGCCGTTCTCTGCACAGCACCTGAGCAGGAAGCCAACTCGGAGCACTCTGTCAGTCTTCTCAATGACTTCTCTGTGGGCAGGAGCCATGCCTGTTCGTCTTTGTAATGTCAGGATTCACACAAGGCCTGGCCTGGTTCTGACACTCGGCTGGTGTCTACTACGTTGTTGACTGGCTGCAGAGCCCAGAACCAACCCTGGCTCGAGCCCTGGGCCGTACTGGGGGCTGCTGTGGACTCTGGTAGGAAAACCCGGGGAGGGGGCAGGATGACCAGCAGGGCCAGTCAGTGGGCAAGGGCACCAGGGTTCCCCATGGGTTACATGGACGACTGCATGGAAGTGGGGAAAGGGCTGCTAGGGGCCTCCTGTACCCACAGTCAAGTCTCACTGACCATGCAGCCTCCTGACTTGGCATACTGTGGGGCCTGCTCTGGCAGGGGCTCTCTCAGGTCCCCCAATGTAACTTGCTATCACAATGGAGAGTCAGGCCTCCTCTTCTCTATGACGTGGCTGTCCCCCTGACCACGTTCGGGAGCAAGTCTCAGGCCCACCCAGTGAGGGAGGTGCATGTACACCAAACTCTCCCCCAAGCCTAACCCAGTCAAGTCCCAACACCTGCCCACACACAACAGCCCTGCGCCTGGTCTGTGCCCAGCTGGAGTCTTGTTTCATCCCTCCCCTCCCCAGCCCCCTCCTCCCGAGTACAGGCACCGCGGCCTGTGGAACACACAGCTCCTCCTCTTCTCCTTGCCCTACACACGCACCCTCCCAGCCTGGAGCACTCTTCTCTCGTCCCCTCCTCCCTGCCACACACAGCTGAGCTAGTAAGTCCTACTCATCCCTTAGCCCCAGGCATGGCCATCACCTCCTATGGCACCCCAACGCCTACCGTCTCCCTGGTGGGTGACCCTCGGCATGCCCACAGTGCACTGTGCTGCCTCCACCACAGCTCTGCCTGTTTACCAGCTGTGTCCTCTGCTAGGCTTGAGCTCTGGAGGACAGAGAGGCCTGGTCTGTCCGGAAGGCTGTGGTCTTAGCACCTAGTACACTGCTTGAATCAGTGCATTTTGTTGAATGAAGTACCTGTCGAAAGTACCAAGCTCCAGGAAGAGACTTCACAAGTATAGACTGTGCATGCAGGTCTCTAACCCCTGGCATCTCTACCTGTTCACACCTATCCATCCTGACATCTACACATGTGGATAGAAGGTAGCCAGAGACTTCTCTGCTATTCATCCAGTCACTTACTTATGTCTGGCCCTGGTCCCTGAAGCACCTGCACTATTTCAACCAAAGACAACCTGTTCATCAGGCCCTGCACACTACACCTGGGTCCCCCAAGGCCAAGCTGGAGCCCTGGCCTAATCCTGGCTCCCCCTTCCCCCGGCCTGCAGTCCACACGGGTGGCCAGGCCTCCTTACCAATGATGGCTTCTTTCAGGCTGGACTCCACAGGCAGGATGTTCTTCTCCACCAGCTCCATGGGCCCGGGCCGCTGTGCGATCTTCTCGTTGAGGTCGTCAGCCAGCCTGGCTCGCTTCAGCTTCAGCTGCTTGGCCTGGAGGGAAGGCTCAGCCGAGGTCTCTGCCGGGAGAGGAGAGGTGTGAGCCGACCTGGTGACCTGGTTCTGCCCTAGGGATTCCAAGCCACTCCTCCCTGCCCAGGAAGATGCAGAAGCCATGGAAAGGAAAGCGCCCCCCAGGCAGAGAAGGGTTGCCTGTCCTGCAGTTTTGCAAGGACAAAAGAAGTGGCCCCACCGTGGCAGTGTGTGGTCACACACGGCAGTGCGAATGAGCCCTGAGGACTTTCTGAGGCAGCAGCAGAGGTGAGTGAGCAGGAGATGCTGCCTCAGGGGACGCAGCGCCCACTCCACTCAGGACTCAGGGTCGTCTTCTGCACAGTGGTGCCGGACTCGGGCAGTTCTGCTCCAACCCCCAAAACTCAAAACTAAACAAAAGATGGATGGATGCTTGCTGCTTCTAGAGGCCAAAACCTGTGATGCTCGGGCCAAGTGAGGCAGACTCAGGAGGGCTTATCTGGTATCATAAGACTCAAAAATCCTGAGCGAGTGAGTGAAAAAATACACTTTTATGTTCACTCTTTGTGTTGTATGTTCTGTGGGTCTTGATCAATGTTTCATGTCATGAATCTACCATTCATAACGGTATTATTACAAGAGATTTTGGAGGACAGAAAGGATCTGCCCTGAAAGAGAGAGAGAGAGAGAGAGAGATTGCACAGGAAGGGCTGGTGAGGTCCACGGCCACCAAATGGCCAGAGGAGAAAAGGCCAGGCCAACAGAGTGTCCCCAAACCAGGGGTGGCTATGACAGCACTGCTGTTGGGCTGTGTCAGGGCTCCGGCTGCCTGGGCTGCCAATAGCAATGAGGGACACAAGCTCTGGGTGGTGGAGTGGTGCCAACAGTGAAGACAAGGGGTTAATGAAGAAGCATTTCCAGTCTAACACACCTTCCAAAATGTGCATCCTGACTAGCTCCGATCTCTCTGGCCGCGAACGAATTTTCCGCTTCAGATAGTCCTCTGTCTATGGAAAAAACACACCAAGAACTCTCAGATCCAGGTTCCCAGAGTGTGGCATGGATTGGACCACAGACGCAGACTCAGCTGTGGTGGATTCTGCTGGTCACTTTGGCATTCCCATGGCTTCCAAGTGGTGAGAGCAAGGTCCTGAGGCAGGAGGCGGTTGGGAGGTGCAGCCCAGGGAGGATGCACCAACTTCCAACTGGACTGCCCAAGGTGGCCCTGTCTGTCTCCAAAGGCCATCTGTCTCCTACTCATTATATAAATATCTATTATTTTTCCTACCATAGAAGTAATGTATATTCATCAAAGAAAAGTAAAACAAAATAATTTCTAAATCATCCTGTTAGTACTTGGGGATAGTAGTTTCTAGCCATTGTTCCTGTGGGACGCAAGCTGAATTCTGCAGCTCTGTAGTCACAATGAATGGAACTTTAACAGTTTTACAGTGCATGACCTCAGGAATATTTCCCACTCATTTTGAATGGTTAACAAATGGAACACTGTAGTGCCTAAGGCATTTGACTGCTAATCACAAGGTTGCCAGTTCAAACCCACCAGCCACTCCACAGAAGGAAGACCAGGCAGTCTATTTCCATAAAGCTTCACAGCCTCGGAAACCCAAAGGGGGTCGCTATGAGTCGGGATCGACTCGATGGCAGTGAGTTTTGTTTTTATTGTTTTTGTCATGGCTCTAGTTCCTTCAAGTCCAATGTCCTCATTTCTGAACTTACTAGACTCCAGGTGAAATAAGCCAACTTCAAGGCCACAGAGCTACCACTGCCCAGGGCTAATGCTTTAAGGTGTGTCTGACCCCAGAGTCTGTGCTTAGCCTGTGCATCAAGATTTCTCAAGGCACAGGCCAACCACTGAGTCAAGACCAGCATAGGCTAAGACACGATGTTACAGAAGTTAAGGTATCAGTGCACGCTGCGTGTGATAAAGACCATGCCCGCACCCTGGCCTCCTGCTGCCTTGGGGCCCTGGCAGGCAGCCCTGGGCAGTGCTGGTGGCTGAGCTCCCCAGTGGACGGTTTAAAGTGGCTGTGGTGCTGGATCTCTCACCCCAATCTGCAGCGGGCAGATGTTCGCTGAGGCTGCTTAAGTCTTCGCAGACACCAGAAGGAGGGCTAATTTCTAAGCTGTCGGATGCTCTGAACAACGGCCAAGGCTGAAGCAGAACAGTCAGGACTAAGAAAACAGCTAGAGCCCACAGGCCAAGGTCTGACTGCCAGTTCTGCCACTTACTAACGAGATGAGTCAGTTAAGCTCTGTATAGAACGAGGACGAACACACTGGATTCATAAGAGTGATGGGAGGGTCACAAGTGGATGCAACCAGCATGGGAAAGTGCTCAATGAACTAGCAGCCTTTCTAATGAGCTGTTACTTATTCCTCACCTACTTGAGAAGCAGTCAAGGAGATGGTGCTGAGTGGAGATAGGGTGGGCAGCACAGGCAGTGCCACTACCTTGTCCCCCTGCTGTGCTCTCCAGTGCCTGGCTGCAGGAGTTAAGGTTATGTGTCCACTGGGCTGGGCCTGATTGAGTGGCTGGGCAGCTGGATGCAGTTATTCCCCAAGAGGAGACTGGTAATCACCTCCATGCTGGAATCTACTGGAGCTGCCCTAAGGGATGTGGTCTGCTCCCAGTATATAAGGAAAAGCTTTAGGAATGGTCAGTAGCTTCTGGCATGCTTGAATTCCACATGTAGCCGAGTCATTATTCAGCAGCCTGCCATGTGGTTTGGTAATATCGGGACTGTGCCATTTTATTTGTCATCCTTGGGTTTGACAGCCTCAGTAGCCAGCAGCTGCCTGAGTAAAGAGATGCCTCTAGCTTCAGTGGGCCGGGAACAAGAGGCAGAGCTGAAGCCCAAGGTCGAGGGGCTTTTGCCCAGCCTATAGAGCCTGGCACTTTGAACTTGGACTTCTAGCCTCCAAAACTGTAAGAGAATAAACTCCTATTTGTTAAAGTCACCAATTTGTAGTATTTTCTACTAGAGTGACACGACGTAACCAAAACACCAGCACATTCACATAATGCCCTTGACCTCATTCTTCCCACTATGAGCACTGACCATGATTCTCTATGGCAGATTTAAAAATAAACAGAAGAACTTCTCCGAAAGAGTAAAGAGAACCTACAGATTGGGAAGTATTTTGGGCAACATTATCTGACAAAGGGCTAATCTCTAAAGTTTAAAGAAAACATCAACACTTTAACAACTAAAAGATAAACAAACAATGCAATGTAAAAAATGGGCAAAGAACATGAACAAAAACTTAACAAAAGGAGACATTCAGGCAGCCAACACACACATGAATGAAATCATTAACCATTAACAATTAATCATTAACAATCATTAACCATTAGAGATGTAAATCAAAACAAGGTATCATCTCACCCTGGCAACAATAGCAATGATGAAAAAAAAAAAAAAAACAGGAAACAAATGCTGGCAAGAGTATGGGTAGACTGGAACTCTCATACACTGCTGGAGGGGCTGTAAAACCACTATGGGAAATGATAATGGCATTTCCTTAAGATGGGAGAAATAAGATACCATGTGATCCAGCAATTCCACTACAAAGTACACATCCTAGAGAAGAGCAAGCCATGACATGAACAAATACCTGCACACACGTGTTGATCACAGCATGATTCACAACGGCAAAAAGACAAAAAGAACCAAATGGCCCATCAAAGGATGAATCGCTAAACCAACTATGATGTGTACACACAATGGAACACTACACCAACATTAAACAATGATGAATCCATCAAACACCTCTTAACATGGATGAACCTGAAGGGCATTATGCTGAGTGAAATAAGTCAGTTACAAAAAGACAAATATTGTATGAGACCACTATTCTAAAAGGTCACCAAACGGTTTAAACACAGAAAAAAAAACATTCTTTGATGGTTACCAGGTATGGATAGACGGGGAGAGAGAATCACCAACGAGATTGTTAATAAGGTAAACATTTAGGAACCTGGATAAAGGGAAAGGCAATATACAACACAACATGACCAAGGCAAAGGAAGACACTGCAAGAGTGAAAGGCAACAGCCATAAATACTACTGCACACACAGTCCTGTCATTAATATACAAATCCTGCAGGAACAAAAAGTGACTTACGAGTGGACACAGGCAGATATGTTAAGCTGAACAGGTGTGGAATGGTGTACGGGAGTACCCATGAGCCTATACAGGTTTGTCAAAGAGTATTTCTAGATACATATATATGTACTACGTAAGAAAGAATGCGGTATCAGGATTGGAGGAAGACTAATTAACAACTTGCAATATGCAGATGACATAACCTTGCTTGCTGAAAGCAAAGACTTGAAGCACTTAGTGATGAAGATCCAAGACAACAGTATGGATTATACCGCAACATAAAGAAAACAAAAATACTCACAAGTGGACCAAAAAGCAACAACATGATACATGGAGAAAAGATGGAAGTTGTCAAGGATTTCATTTTACTTGGATCCACAATCAACACCTGTGGCAACAGCAGTCAAGAAATCAAATGACATACTACATTGGGCAAATCTGCTGCAAAAGGCCTCTTTAAAGTGTTAAGAAGTAAAGATGTCACTCTGAAAGTTAAGGTGCACCTGGGCCCAAGCCACAGTATTTTCAATAGCCTCATATACATATGAGAGCTGGACAATGAGTAAGGAAGACTGAAGAAAAACTGATGCATCTGAATTGTGATGTTGGTGAAGAATACTGGAAATACCATGGTCTGTTAGAACCAACAAGTCTGTCTTGGAGAAAGTACTCTTGGAACACTCCTTAGAAGTGAGAAAAGCTACTTTGTCTCTTGTCCTCTGGCCGTGTTGTGAGAAGGCACCAGTCTCTGGAGAAGGATGTCACAGTTGGTCAAGTAGAGGGTCAGCAAAAAAGAGGAAGGTCCCCAACAGAATGGACCGGCACAGTGGCTATGACGACGGGCTCAAACACGGCCATGACTGTGAGAATGGTGCAGGCCTGGGCAGTGTTTCATTCTGTTGAACACAGGGTTGCTATGAGTCAGATGGCACCTAACAACAACATATATTGCAAATATATCCACGTGTACAGTAGAGCACACACAGAACGAAGTTACGCAGACTTCTAGCCATAACCGAACACTTTGAGGGACTCAGTCACTAGGCTTGAGGGCTTAGGACCATAGTCTCTGGGGACATCTAGGTGGCATGGCATTACACCATCCATAAAGACAATGTTCTACATCCTACTTTTATGAGAACCGAATGGGGCCTCAAAACCTTGTGAGCAGCCATCTACTGTACAACTATTGGTCTCTTCCCATCTAGTGCAAAGAAGAGTGAACAAAACCAAAGATTCAAGGGAACAATTAGTCCAAAGGGCTAGCAGACCACATGAACCAGAGCCACCACCAGCTTGAGACCAGAAGAACCAGATAATGCCTGGCTACCAGTAGACCGCTCTGATCGGAATCACAGAAGGTGGTCCTGGACAGAGTGGGAGAACAATGTAGAACAAAATTCAAAATCATAAAAAAGACCAGACCTACTGGTCTGAAACAGACTGGTGGAACCTCCGAGACTATGGCCCTGAGATACCCTTCAGACCACTCAAACTACTCCCAGAGATCACCTTTCAGCCAACCAACAGAGAGGCCTATAAAGTGATCAATCAATACCTGTGAGGAACGTGCTCCTTGGTACAATCAACCACAAGAGACCAAAAGGGCAGCATCTGCCCAGAAACAAAGTTCAGAAGGCAGGAAGAGGCAGGGAAGATGGGCAAGTAGAGACAAGGAACCCACAGAGGTAGTGAGAAGAGTGCTGCTACACCTAGGGGATTGCAACTCATGTCATGAAACAAACGGACACAAATTGTTGACTGGGAAAGTAATGTGCTCTGTAAACTTTCACCCAAGCCACAATAAAATATTCAAAAAATAAAATAAAATACAATGAAGAAGTAAGAGAAGTCTTGGAGGTAAGTATTTCAAAATATCTAAAAGAGTTGTGGGTCTTCAGGAAGCCAGAGACTCTAACTTTCCATCTGGGGTAGCTCTCATCCCTCGTCTTTATGAAAAGAATAAAGTGAAGATGGTGGGAAAGCAGTATATTCTGGTGACTTCCCCATCTCCTCCCACCCTGGGCAGCAGAATATCCCCCAGAGGTCCCTAGGGGAACTGAAACCCAGACTGGGGAGCAGTAAGTGAGATGCTGCAGCATGAAACTTGGGGTCTGAGCAAAGTCCAGCTTCTGCTTTCCCAAGAGAGCAACCTGGACCTGCTCAGGGCAGATGGAGACCAGTCAAGTTTCCTGTCCTTGGAGGTGTGAGCAGTGCAGCCCTAGACACAAACGGGCCACCACCAACAAACTGTTCCATGGCTAGTGCTTGCAGGCTAACATCTACAAAGGGTTAAGTGGAATTAAACCTGGGGAAATACTAGTCTCAAAGCAAGGACTAGGTGGTCACTCCATATCCCTTAATGTGCTGAAGGACGAAACTCATTCTGGTTCTATATAACCTTCCTGGGGGATGACTGCGGCGGGGATGAAAGTTCTCTTCAGAACTGTGAGGCAACGGCTGACCCTACAGCCGTGCTCCTGAAGGAAGCAGAACCAGCAATGCAGTGAGCTCCAGAACTTCCAGGAGGTCCCTAGGGAAGAAAGGTCCTTACCCTGGCCCGCTCCAAGCTCCTTCTCTGCTCATGAAATGCAGCTGGACTTTTCAAAGCTGTTGGGAGAAAAACCACAAGAGAATTACTTTCCAGTGAAGCATCCTGTCAATGCCACAGTTTATGGTGCAGAGGGCATCTTAAATTCAAGTTAATTTTAGCAGTCCTATTAATACCAGCTGTGATGGAGAGGAACTGATACCTGAGTAAGCGTGCATCTTTCTGTGACTGCAGCCCCATTACAGCAGTTTGGGTCACTTTATGATTCCTAAGGGGCGATACCCACTGCGTAAATGTGGGTGTTCTAAAGATGTTGGTGACTAGAACTTTCAACAATGCCCTGGCCCCCGCCCTGGACTGTCTGCGGCAGAACCCTCATCCTCAGCCTCCATGAACACCTGCTGGCTGAGGAGGGGCAGAGCGTCATGGCAGGGGCACTCCCTTCTCCAACCTCACTCATGAAAGTCCTAAAGTGACCAACACTGTTCTATTAGGGCAGCTAAACCAGAAAGACGTACGTCCACTCAGGTGCTGACTCCCCCCCTCACTCAGCTGGTATTAACAGGACGGCTAAAATTACCTTGAGTTTCATCTGGAAGGACTGGAAGAACCTCACAGCCATGGTACGGCTGACCCTGGTGAACATACACAACCGGCTGCTGACAGGACCGGCTCACTGTGGCCCTGGTCAGGGACTTGGCTCTGCCCTGGGGACACTGCCACCCAGACTATAGCGTCAATGCCAGTAAACAATGAGGAGAGGGGAGGACGAGGCCAACGTCCTCCACAAATGCTGCACAGTGAATACAGGGTCTGTCTCCTTTTGTCCAAAACTCAGCTTTGTAAGACAAATGATGCTTTAGGATCCTGCAGATGAGGGGGAGAGGCCTGACTCACTTCAAGTAGAGAATAGTAGCAATTGGAGAGAAATTGACAAGACTGTGGTCGGTTTCACTTCTGTTGCCCTCCAACTTCAGAGCTGCTGTGAAACTGGGCCCAGAGATAATTTCTGCTGGCTGCTGGCTGTGGTTATGCACACAGGGCTAAGGAGCCACTAAAAGTAGCAAGAGCACAGATAGGACGCTATCCTGCCTGGGGTTCTGTGCTTCCTCTCTGCCCTGGTGGGCTGGGCCTCAGCAACAGCAGTCTCAGAAGAAATGGCCCTGTCCCACTAGTGTTTATTTTTTAAAATACATACATATTTTTTAATCATACAATTAAAATACTAGTCTTAGAGGCTCTGCTTAGAGCCTGTTCCACCTTCTAACGGCAGGGGGAGCTCTATAGTTAGCAAATAAACTGAGAACACCCAGTCCAGGGTCCTTCCCAGCCACCAGCAACATGTCCAAGCACTAGCCAGGCTATCAAAGCTCTAATGGGGATGGGTGTGTGGGGGGGTCTTGGGCTAGCAGACATCCCTACACGTACACGGACTACGTAAAGCTGGTTCAACTCTAAAATCAATCACCCCAAGCTTTGAAATGCAGGAACCAGCACTGGGTGTGCTGGACAAACACCTGGCTCTTGGACAACTTATCACATGGATGAGACAAGAGTACAAAGGATCACGAGAAATCTCCATGCCCGCCCCACCCCAGCTTCCTGCCTGCCTTGTTTTTCTCTACATATAACACATTTTTCTATATATATAACGTCATTGTCTGACATTCTTTATGGCCATCCTATATATTTTTCTTACATGCTTATTCTGTTTCCTACCATGAGAATTTAAGCTCCATAAGGACGTGGTAGGAGTTTTGTCTCATTCATTTCTGGCACTATCCTCAAATGCCTAAGAGTACCTGACACAGTACACCCTCAACAATGATTCACTGAATCAATGAATTAATGAGCAGTCTATAAGCAAAGGATACAAAGTATACCCCAGAGCTGGAAGACTCTGTTAGAGCTCTAGACCTTCGTTCATTTAAGCCACCAGGACTCTGGCTCTCATCAAAACTTCACCCAAGTCCTAGACTGTGAGTCAAGTGATCTGTGTTCTAGTCCCAGGTGCTACAACTGCTACAGGGTACTATATATATATATACACATATAGGAGCTCTGGTAGCATAGTGCCTAAGGCACTTGACTGCTAACCAGGAGGCTGGCGGTTCAAACCCACCAGCCACTCCTTGGAAGGAAGGTTGGGCAATCCTACTTCCGTAGTGATAACTGCCTCGGAAACCCAAGGAGGGGTCGCTATGAGCCGGGGCCGACTCGACGGCAAATAACAACAACAATATATATATATAATTGGAGGGCTTTTCTTTATTGAGAAACTTGACTTGGATACATTTAAAAAAAAAGCAAGTTCTGGGAGGAAAAAAAAAAAAAATCAAAACCTACCATAGGAAAAAAAGTTAACATTGTCTGGACTACAGCAGAACCCAGAGAATGTATTTGTATAACCAGAAAATTCTGGGTGTTTTATAATGGACCTTTTGATACAAAATGACCGATGAAATTTGCAATTTGTGGTTCTTAATGTTGAGGTCCATAGGACAAGTTAGGTAGTCTTCAAACTTGAGCTGAGATCTAGGAGGCATTATTTGCCTTTTAAATCTGTTTTTCCTTGCTAAGAGGTAGCAGCAGTAACAGGCCCACCTCCAGGCAGCTTCATCCACCAGGAGGGAGGGGCTCAGGAGCCTCCAGCAGGTGCAGCCCTCAGAGGTGTCACTCTCTAGCAGCATCCCTGTCATCTTTCCAGTTTAAATGCACTGTCTGAATGAGTGGGAACAAATGTTCTCCCGGCATCTGCTTCTGCTCCTGGGCGGTTGGGGATGCTGCAGCCAACAGGGAGGCAGTCCGAGGCCCCTGCCCCTGCACATGGACTGCAGGCTAGGGTACTACAGAAGCTGTTTGCAGACGCCAGAGGCATATGGTGGGTGTCACAGCCAGAAGGGGCAGCAGCAGCAACAGCACTCAAGGTGCTAAGTTCTGCACAGCTGGGGGAACACTAGCCCTGACTGGTAGCAGGGAGGCCTCAAGGGCTGGAGCAAGGGTAAGGAGCTAGACAAGACCTAGACTGGCTAGCACGTGGCGTTCCTTGGAAGCCTTGAGGGCTGCCATCTTGCTGTCAGTGTGGATTAGGCCTCATCTGTGCTAGTTGGTTAGGTGTTTAATATGGAGGTCTTTCTGTCTTCTTCTGTAGAGAGAGGTTCTGCCCACTTCCCAGTACTCCTCTAAGAATCAAGGACAGTGATCGAGGTAGAGCATACAGGAAACAAAGTTAGCAAAATTTTTAGCCATAACCAAACACCTTGAAGGACTCAGTCACCTAGCTTGAGGGCTTAGAACCATAGTCTCGGGGACATCTAAGTCAACTGGATATAGTCTTTAAAGATAATGTTCTACATCCTACTTTGGTTGAGCAGTGACTGGGGTCTTAAAAGCTTGCGAGTGGCCATCTATGGTGCAACTATTGGTCTCTTATCATTTGGAGCAAAGAAGAGTGAACACAATCAAGACTCAAGGAAACAATCAGTCCAAAGAACTAAGAGACCGCATGAACCACAGCCTCCACCAGCCTGAGACCAGAAGAACTAGAAGGTGCTGCCTACCACTACTAGCCACTTCAATTGAGATCACAATGGAAGGTCCCAGATAGAGTAGGAGAAAAATGCAGAACAAAATTCAAGGTAATAAAAAAGACCAGACTTACTGGTCTGATAGAGATTAGTGGACTCCCTGAGACTACAGCCCTTAGACCCTCTTCAAACCTGGAATTGAACCCACTCCTAGAGATCACCTTTCAGTCAAACAACAGATAGGCCTATAAAGTGGACAGCTAACCCCTGAGAGGAATGTGCTCCTCAGAATAATCAACCAGACCAGACCAAAAAGACAGCATCTGCCCAAAAACGAAGTTCAGAAGGTAACAAGGGAGAACAAAGACAGGCAAGCGGAAATGGGGAACCCAGGGAGGAAGCGGAAGAGTGCTGTCACATTAAGGAGACTACAAGTAACGTCACAAAATAAAACGTGTATGTGGTGGTTAAGTTTGTGTGTCAACTTGGCTAGACATGGTTGAGTGGCTGGGCAGCTGGATGCAGTATTCCCCATGAAGAGACTAGTAATCAACTCTATGGTGGAATCTACTGTGAGCAGCTGAATAGCCTTTGGGTATGTGATCTGCTTCCCATATATAAGAAACAGCTTTGGGAATGGTTTCCAGGTTATGGCACACCTGAACCCTGCAGGTAGCTGTGTCACTGTTCAGCAGCCTGCCATACTCTGCTGACTCTGGGACTTTTTTTTTTTGTTTTATAATTGTGATTTGGGTGAAAATTTACAGAGCAAATTCACTTT